GATTTGATATTTGGCTTTCTCCAGCTAATCCATTCACCTGTTTGCTAGAGAAAGTCCAGGAGTTGACACTAAAATACAATAAAGCATGATGATGATGATGATGATGATTAAACAAACAATTCATGATTAAATGGAGCATAAAAAAACACAGCCAAAGACTTGATATGAACCACTGTGATTTTACTTGGCTCAAATAAGGGTCCATCACCAAGAAGGTTATATGATTGAAAGACAAGACATCTCACTTTTGAAGAATGCTTTATGTGATGGACAAAAGCCCTTCAGATAGCCTAACTAGGCCCAAAATATCCTTCCCCAATTTGTTATCCTTACCCGATGTCGTCATTGGCCAAGGTAGCTGTGCATGTTGTGTTTACCACATAATTATTAGGTTGTCAAAAGCTAATTTAGAGTTTTGTTGATTTAAATTGACACTTGGCCTCCTTGTCCTTCTTTAGTGAGACCCTGAGCAGAGTCCCACTCAGAATTGGTACAGAAAAATAAGTACAAATTTCTTTCTTTTACTTTGGGATGCCCTCCCATTCTAAGAGGAGGTCCATGGCTAGTCCTTCTTGAGGTTCATTCCCAGAAATGAATAATATTACTGTAACGTTTTCCTTTCCAACCATAAATCTTTTGTTATTTGATTCACTGATTAACAAAATGCCTTTCAATGCTTATAATAAATACATAAAACCAGAATGAGCATAAAAATATTGAAATGAAAATGAAGATGGTAGACTCTGATGGACCAATTTAATATTTTTTATTAAGCGAATCATTCTCTCTTAGCTCTATTTATCTCGTACGGTTGTGAGGAAAAAGCAGAGGAAGGCCAGGTTTTCCCATTCTGGCTCCTGAATGAAAGGTAAGATAGGAATCTCCCAAATGAACACATATCTCATCTTGAGCCTACATATGCCTTAAAAATGGCCCAAAATCCTGTGGTCAAAATTCAGCCAGTCAATCTGAGGTTCTGGAACCATAACTGAGTTACTGGTGGGTTGCAGGAAATGGCTCCTTCCCACCACACACCCCTCGGCTGTAGCAAGAAAACTAGTTTGCGGTTTCCTTATAAATGCTACATCTTGTAAAGGGAGAAGAGCAGAATGTTTTCTGGACTGAGTTCCCATGGTTTCCCCTTCTCCCCCTCAAGAAAAATGAAGCATGGCCATTCTACTAAAGGTGCTTGGCTCCTTAAAGGCAGAACTCCATTATGGAAGCAGCTGGGTAGGCCAAATTCCAAACTCACTCTTTCTTTTCTGCTAAACATCTAGCCAGTGGCTCCACCAAGCCTTTTTTTTACTCCTTTACAAGACAATTAGGCAGACGGTTTCTCACAGAAGTAGCCAATGTTTTGCCAGAATTGAAATGAAATGGGTTGCCCTGAGCCCCAAAGCAGATTGAAGGTTGGCGAAGGAGACATCATTCCCAAACTAATAAACTCAATGCCAGATGGAAGCAGAATAAAAATTAGGCTCTATAAAAGACCTCCTCCTGAAGGAGACCTTTAAAAAACAGCTACGCTCAAGCATGAATTCATTTTAACTTTAAATCAGCTTCAGTGTATGTCTTGACTTGTTAGAGAATATTTTATTCTCCAAAGCACCTGAGGACAGGACCAGAAGCAATGAATGGAAACTAATAAAGGAGAGAACCAACCTGGAACTAAGGATAAATTTCCTGACAGTTGGAACAATTAATATGTGGAATGAGTTGGCTTCAGAAGTTGTGGGACCCTAAAGATTTTAAAGAAGAGATTGGACAACCCTTTGTGTAAAATGGTATACGGTTTCCTACCTGAGCAGGGAGTTGGACTAGAAGACCTCCAAAGTCCCTTCCAACTCTGTTATTCTGTTAATGATAATTGTTCATCAGCCATAAGAAGGCAGAGATGGCTGGTGGTGTATTCAGGTGGGCAGTTACAAATCAAGGGATGCATATATGGGTAAGCAAGTGACATTACTTGTAAATGTCTGGCACTGAAGCTTACCAGTTTCCTGGACTATTTGTAACAAAATTATAAACAATTAGTCTAAATACTTTCCCAGACACGTTAGATCATCCCCCCCCCCCATTATTGTTACTCAAAGCTATACAACTTTCAACCTCCCATAAAGCTTTGGATGTAGTCTAGAAGCTTCCATTGAATTCTATTTTTAGCGTCACCAAAGGGGACCTAACTAATTATATTTGGAGAATAATCATATTGGCACAGTTTAATTAATAACATTTACTTTTAGTTTAATCATTTTAACATTTTAGTTGATTAATCATTTTTATTCCTATTTTGTCCTGTTCTGCTTCAACTCCTAGCATGCTGTTCAAAAGCCAAGAATAGCTCTTGATCTGAGCAAAGATTGTGCACAACTATTTGTAATGTAGTGTACCTGGGGAGGTGGCAGGACAGATCATGCATTGCTGGAGTCCATATCCCTTATCAAAGATGAACATTTTAGCAGCTGACAATAGAAAGTGTCATTTACTATCCAAGATGAATGATAGTCTATTACCCCTAACAGCCATTCTTATTCTTGTCTGGTAGAATCACTGCATTCCCATTATTGCTTGAATGTCTTGTATGAAAATTCCCAGTTTGCTCAGAAGTCTTCTGCTGTGGGAGGATCACGGATAATCAGCCGAACCAAAGAAGGAAATGTATATATCCTTCTTTGTACGTCAGTTGAATCATGCTTTGTTTCCAAGAAAAGGCTCCTATTTAGAGGCAACTTTGATTTCCTGACACTTTTGACAAATAGTTAGGATCTTTTCTTCCAGTATACCCTGGTTGTAAACATTCCAAAAATAATCTGCGTAATTCCTGAAGATTAAGAGTTGGAAGATTATTTGTGCAATGGTGTCATGACACACACATCGTTTAAACTTTATTTTGACTTGCATGGTTGGTGTTGAATAGGATTTATTGTAGTCCAGAATATCTTCCTGCCAATCTTAAGGTTTGCTATTAGATGAAATACATCTCTGATGGGCACTTCTGAGAAAGGCTGGGATGGAGAATTTTATGGCTTACTTCTGGCTAAATACAGTATATTGCCTTATGACACATTAATACCTAAGGACCGCTTCAATAACTTCCTGGTGGATTGGATCAAGGGTGGCATTCACTTACCTTCCCTACTGGTTCACAAATGTGAGGGGCATGTGTCCACGCATGCGCTCAGCCTTCCGCGTATGTGCTTTGGTTAAAAAAAGGGCCTAAATGGGATGCCATAGAGCTGGGGTGAGTGAGTGGGGCCACCCATGATTTCCGCTAACAGTTTGGGTGAACCAGCAGAATACCACTTCTGGATTGGATCCCTGGCCCATCTGGTTTAGCAGTCTGTTTCCAAGATGGTCATTTGATTCCAGAACAAACCTCAGAAAACCTTGCAAACATGTGTGAACTACAGCTGTCCATTCAGTGTAGCCAGGAGGGCAGTGGTTAAGGATTCTGGCAGATACAGTTCAGCAATCTCTGGAGAACCTTCGGTTCCACCACAAAACCGCGGAGTACAAAATCGCGCTCGACGAAAGCGCGCATTTGACGTTATCACAGCGCGACGAAAACATCGCGCTGTGATCGAAAAATGTAAAA